CCCGCCCCGCCCCTTCCACCTGTTTGGCTGCTGAGAAGATGACGCTTTGGACCGGGGGCGTCCCCTGAGCCCTCAGGGTGGCGTTGGCTGTGGGAGGACCAGGGAAAAGCTCTACCAGGGCTCCAGCCCCTTAATTCCCCCCTCCCCAGTCAGCCCTGTCGCCCCCATACCAAACACCGAGATATCCACGTTGATGTAGGCCACCGTGCGCTCCTGCAGCTTGCTGAAGAACTCCTGCGGGTGGGGGGCGACGTCAGCCTGGCACTGCCCTGCCGGGGGATCCCCTTGATCCCCGACCCTGGAGGCTCTCTCACCTCCGTGAATTCTGTGGAGCCAATGAGCCCAAACTCCTCTGCCCCCCAGCTCGCAAACACGATGGATCTGCGGGGACGCCAGGTGCCTGGGGGAGGGAACAAAGGGCTGGAGGGCAGGGGACCCGGGATCCTGGGGTCACTCACAGAAAGACTGGGGACACGGAGAGGTCGGAGGGTAGCCCGTGACAAGAGGTAGGTCCTGGCACCTCTCCAGACAAGCCTTCCAGGAGGCTTCATCCCCCTTTTCCGGCCTCCTTCCTCTACTGTGACACCCCAACATTGCCCCCAACACCAGCCTCCCTCAGGCAGGTGGTCCGTTTGCTAGATGCCCTGCCTCCCTCTTCCCTATAGGCATGCGTTAGAAGGCCTCCTGAACCCCCCTCCAGCTCCCTTCTCCATGCATCCTAGGAAAAACTGGCCCACAACCTTCACCTGGTGACAATACATTCACGTTCTCCTTTTCCTGAACTGCCCTCTGACTTGCACCTGCAAAGCCCCTCAGGTATGTTCCTTTACAGCACGGATCACAGCTGTCATTCCATGTAGGAACTCTGGGGTGTTCACTGTGGGACCTCCCCTGCTTAGAACTGGCCTGACATGCAGTAGACACCGAGACGTATCTGTTGAGTAATGACTGTCATCCCTGCCTCAACTGCGCGGAGGCTCCCGGAGGGCAGAGCCTGGGCACTGCCTTGCTCACAGCAGCATCTGGGCCTCATTCCATCCAGGAACACAGCGGGCTCTCAGAAGCTACCGTACGAATCAATCAATGGTCCGTACGAATTCATCACTGGGCCACTGGAAACCAGGGCTGGTGTCCGTGCGTGCCTGCCCCCAGGGCCCTCAGGCTTGGCGCAAGCGGGCACTGGAGAATGAGAGGGGGGAGGTGGGACAGGATGTCCTGCCCGAGCCAGGAAGGAGTGGGTTTGGAGGTCACCTCCCAGGGGGGAGTCCCTGGACCAGGGGAGGGGGCGGCCTCACCCTTCTTCAGCAGGGTCCCCAGGACGCGGGAGAGCTCCAGGAGGACAGCAGTGCCGCTGCTGGGGTCCACGGCCCCGTGCACCCAGCTGTCCCGGTGGTTCCCATACAGCACGTAGCGGTCTGGCGGGAGGAGTAGAGTCAGAAACTAGGGGAGACGGCGGGGTCTGCGGGCCAGGCGGAGGGGGCGTGGTCAGGGCGCTCGAGCCGGGCGGGTTCTGAGGGCGCAGGGAGCAGGGAGCCGCGAGGGGGCGCTCACCGGGCTCCACAGCCCCTCGGATGATCCCTAGGACATTGGAGGAGTTCCGCAGCTGCCGGCGGTTGTGAACGCTCACGTTCACCTGGCTGGGGGCGTGAAGGGAAGACAGTGTTCGCCCTGCTCACTACCCCTGACCCCTAGCGCCCCACTCTCTGCCCCCAGTGCAGGAGAAACTGAGGCCC